GAAATCAAAACAATGGGTAGGAGACAAATGGGTGGTATTTTTGAGTGAAAACAACAACTTAAAAGCCCACAAAAATCATGTGAGGAGAAGAGCAAATTTGCCATAAAATTAGTCTACTTTTTGAGTTTTGTAGTAAAACAAATGGTAAGTAGAAACCAAGTGCTTAGGTCCCTTGTTTTGTCTTAACTTTATGGTCTAGTGTCAAAATCTTCACTCATCTCATTAGGAAATAAATAAAAAGATTTTTTTTAAAAAACTTATTTTCTGATATTTGATAAATGATAAGTAATAAAAAATATTATTCTAAAAATAATTATGTCTATGTAATTTTAACAAAATACTATGAGATGAAATGGCATGGTGAGTAAAAGTTTGAGGGTGGAATGGTCAAGGAAAGGAAATTAAGTGCACGGAGGAGATACAATGAACTAGGAGTGTTATTAGTGGATTTGTTTTACTTCCTTTCTTATTTTAACAAACTTGTTTTCAGGAGAAAATGTTTTTCACAATATTTTGACCAACCAAAAATCAGAAAATTAAACACACCCTCCTTTCATGTGATTTTAGGTCTTTTAAGACAACTCCTTTCATGTGATTTTAGGTCAATTTTGTCCTCTTTTAACACATTCAACATAATTTTACATATACATATCAATAAATTTGTAGATCAACCCAAGATATGACTTGACCCATGGGTGGCCTCAAATATTTACCAAGAACAAATTATGTGTTATTTTTTTATTAAAAATAATAATTATTTATAATAAAAAGTATATATATATATATATTCTTCGCCAACACTGACATTATTTATCCTTGTCAACTTATTACTTATAGAATTGTATTAACAATTCATATAATGATTGCTTCATTAGAATAATATTTTTCAACGTTGAATTGATAAAATCTTACATAAAACTAATAATTTTAAATAAAAAGAAGTACTCGAAAAATTCATCTATAAAAAAAATTAAGTAATAATTTGCATCTAAATAGTTAGAAAAATAAATATGTATGAAATTTGTTAGGTCTCAATTGAAATTTCGTTTTAAGCCCCCAATTACGTTGAGCCACCCCTGACCTGACCATCACGATTGATCCTCACTCATTTCATTCATCCTCAATAGATATGGTACTTGAACCTTCTAGTGACTATGATCAGTTTCAATATTCTATATTATATGGCCATACATCCATTTTAATTCGAAATTTTGCAACACTCATCTTGTATATATATATAATAAGATTTTCGCATTCAAAATTCCTAAACATATAATATAGTTGATATTATAATTATTTTTTCGAACTTATCTTTCACTTTGACATGTATCATTATGTCATATAACACTCCATTAATATTTTTCCACTTCAACTAAATTAACCAACTAGTTAATAGTCATATATATTAATAACTCTATTTTGTATACTTTTTCATTAGCATCATTAATCATACAATCATGCTTAGCATTAAAAAAAGAAACTAAATTATCATTAGAAAAAAGAGAGGAAATGTATCTTATGTTTTAAATTTTTAATTACATAGCTCATCTTTGTGAATTAGGTATAAAGTTAACAAGTCTAAATCAAGATGATGATATGATGTGCACCAACAAGAATAAAGTGAAACAATAATACTAAACCTTTAATTTTCTTTATGCAATAACATATTCAATTAAGAAAAAAAAAAAATTTATTAATTAACAGACTTTAAAGGGCAAGAATAAAAGTCCTTCATGCCTTAGTTCTCACCAACCAAGACAAATATATGAATAAATAAATAAATTTTAAAACAAAACAAAAAGGAAAAGACCGTTAGAGGAGGGGACCAAAGTACAAAGAAAAAAGAAGAAGATTCCATTTCAAAATAGCATATTCCATGTAATTTCATAAATAGGATCCGAAGAGATTAAGATATACGCAAATCATACTCTTACTTTTGTGGCACTTGAGTATAGAGGGGTTATTTCCTATAAACCTTCGACTCGAAAGAGTTTGTAAAATGAAAATGAGTAGAAATATATGTATGATTGCTCATCTTCATAAGTTTAGCCTTTAAACGATATCCAATCATTTTGACTTCGATTAGTAATTCATTATACAAGATTATCTTTTTAATAAGCATTAATTATAATAAAATAAATTATACTATTCTTATAATATAAGGCCAAAGATTGACTCTTTTTCTTAAATTTATTTATAATGAAAGGGCAGAGAGCATGTTGGATCTTGAAACTTAATGCTTTGTCATTCTCCATGTTTCTACATATGGAGCTACTAATCACTTTAATTTCATTAGAAAAAATAATAATTGAAGTTAGTAACAAAGTCAGAAGATGCATCAAATAATAATAATAATAGTTTATGATAAGTTCAATTGACGATTGATAAGTGAGTTTTAATATTTTATTTTAAATGAACAAGCATGAATAGTGACAATACCTACACGTCTTCCTAATTAACATTTCATAAGTTTTAAGGGACAACATTCACTAATAGGATTAATAATATTTAATATAAAGTTTATAATTTTAATTATCTTGGATTCGTCTTCCATTGTTGAAAATATGGAATGGACCCCTTAGTTAGATGTCTTAGTTCAAGCATTTTCACCTTTAATAGGTTTGACAAGATGTGAATTCAAATTAATCGAAACCCCAAAACAAGTACACTGGTAGCAAACAAAGAAAAAAACTACAAAGACGGATTCACACATTTGACTATGGGTTAGACATTTAAACTTTTTAGTACTGAATTCATTAGACATTTAAATTTATGGATCCATATCTACTTCAGTATTTATTGTAAGTTTTAGCGAGTATTCACACATATATTATGCTACGCCACGAAAACATAGGTTTCAAATAAACCCACAACTACAACTTCAGGTCCTAAAACTTTGGTTTTGCCTCAATTAATCTTAGAGGTCTCGAGTTCAAGCAGTTGAAAATAAATCGTGCTTTTCTACTATATTGGAAGTGTCAGTAGTATCAACATGTCTGTTATTTGTCCATAGAATTAAAATTGAGGACAGTTTAGTCATTTCACGTATAAGCTAAGCTACGTGGCTTATATTCCAAGAGTCACCGCTTCACTCAAAAGAGGAGTTTCCTCTTCAGTGTCGTTGTTGTTCTCATGTTCCAATTCACAGGTTAGCTCCTTTTGCAATCTTTGGCCCAAAATGCTTCTATTTTTGCTTAGTATATGTGTGTGTGATGATCTTTCATCTAAAATTTAGAAGTTATTTTTTTAGTACATGTGCTTCCTTAACTCTCCCTATAACTATTTTCAGCAAATTGAGTACAACAACAACATACTTCTCACAAATAGAGCATCTTATCCATATCTTAAGTGGAAGAGAGGTTGTTTTCAATAGACCCTCGGCTCAAGAAAGAGCATATCAAAGCAGGAGGAGAACAGTATAATTTTCGCAGTATACATAAGACAAAGTAATAATTGATCCCGCTATCTGTGGGCTTGAGCTTGGTTGTGGAAGGAGTGAATGTTACTTGGATAAGAATATGTCATAAAGCATGTAAGTGGCATATCATATTGTTAATTGAGAGAGTTTGGAGGTATCCAACATGATGGATACTTAAGGTAAAGTGATGACTTTTTATTTACTTGAAGAGGCTTGAGAGAAATGAAATCTTTTTCCGCTCCATTTTTGTTTCAGAGGAAAACTCGAATAGTATAGTAGCAGGGCAATAACTATAGGATTGCAAATTTGATGAACTTAAACTATCACATATTCTTTAGTGATTGTATCTTAAAATTGGTTGTGTTGCATACCTCAGAGGATGTCAATACGATCCTCTATTACTTCTCAAAACTCTGCTTATTTGATGTCACACCTTATCTGGAATCAACTTGCCTCTTCTTAACCCAACCTTATCACTTGATGCACTCTACTTTATTTGGCCATCATGCTATAACACACGAGTGTTGGAGAGAACTTAACATCTTGTTTAGGTGTCCCAAACGTTGATCTCAACACGTGAAAGCATAGGTTTTGTTGATTAATCCTTCAAGTTGGCATTAATTTGTAATTGGGATGATATCTCCAAGGCAATATTCAAATTCTTATGAGTCAATGATTCACGTATCAAACATTAAACTCATAACAATCGATACTACTACTACACTTTGATCTTAACCAATACACCGAGAAAGGTATATTATCGGTTAAGAGTTCTCTTTCATCGCTTGTTGCAAGCAATCCTCTATCGACCTTTTTTCGTCTCCAGAAATGTTCTATATCAACTTCAAACATTAAATACTTTGTAATTTTCGACTCTTGATTGGAAATGTTTTCGAAACAAGTGAATCAAATAATTCAAAAGTTTTTGCTCAATTCAACTGAAAAGAGTTTTCTTAGGGAAAGTATGATCATTATCAAACGATAGCACCCAAACAGACTTTGCTCGAACCCTCCAAAAAAGTTGCCACCCATGGAGGATCCTCTAAATGATACATAGCTTCGATACACATCAGTTGGTATTTTTGAAGAGCCCGAGCATGATTCCAACTGTCCCACTCCACCTCACAGTCAGAAACTCACTGACATCAATTCCAAGACATGTCTCATTTGTGAATCTCCACAGTCAGGTATTCCTTTTTAACTGCAAGATTAATCAAATCCGAGTAAATTTTCTTTACTGAGACTGCAGGACATGTATCACAAGGTTTATTTCCGAAAACTATCTTATCTACAATTGAAAATTGGAAAGAAGGTGAAAGCAAATCAAAACAAAAAGGAGAACAAGTCACTCATCATATTTCAAATTTAATAAAGGTGAGACTGACAAGAATATACATTCAAGATGAATAGATGATGAGGTTTCTGGTATGGTTGAGACAGTAGAGAACATTTGGGGACAAAGACCCTATAAGTTTCTTCTTTACGAAAGAGTGACTTTGACCGGTACTCGAATTAAGTGGCTTAGGGTTGTGAAGATACGATGCTTGAGCCTAACTCAATTCCAAAAGCTAGCTTGAAAGAAGAGACTTTGCCCAAGTCTATATAAGGAAATCACAAATCATTACCCAACCAAAGTGGAACTCTACCACGCTCAAATACCCCCGCACGCCCAGACCGCCAACTAGAGCGTGGGAATATAACATCGATCCTCAAATAGGGACTATTATAGCCATGATAAAATCCTAGTGTCAACTCAACCCTAAAAACTAGCTCAAGGGGGGAGGATTGTCAAAATTCATATAAGGAGACTATAAGCTCATTTTCACACCAATGTGGGACTCTAATACCTCCGGCACGCCCAGACCGCCAACTGAAGCATGACAATATAAAAACAGGACGAACTAGGCTCCGATACACTCAACTCCAAAAGTTATCTTAAGAAAAGAAATTGCCCAAGTCCACGTTAGGAGACCACCAACCCAACCAATTCAGGACTAACCCACTCAGGGATATAGTTCTGACCTTGGCGCCAATTATCTGAGTTGGAACCTTGGGCTTTGGTTCGGAAACCCCCCGTCTGATCATTCACCAAATTCGCATCCTTCTCATAGTAGTACTCCTCAATTGGTGTCGGTGGAGATCTAGTCAGATAATTCACAACATTTACTTTTTCCGCATTAACACTCACTTGTTTTAGTACCAAACCCAACTTTGTCCTTATCTGAGCCATCTCTTACCGAATGTCATCATTAGATTGGTTGGGTGCAGTTTGGACAACGAATGTGCTCCTACCAGTATTTGCCTTTCTAGTGCTCTAGGCTTTGTTGTTTTGGGAAATCCTCTCAAGCTTTTCGATGAAAAGACCACTACCCATTCTCAAATCCAACTTAATTCAAATTTCCATCTAATTCTCTCTTTTTATATTTAGTTGTTTTGAACACTATGAAAGGAAGAAGAGACAATTTATATTTTGAAATGAGGGGAAACAACTTGCAGATGTTCACAAAACGCTTGGGATTTCTTTATTTATTTGTTTGGGTCTAGGGGGGATCAATGAAGTCTAAGGTACTAATCCCCAGCAAAGGCAAAAATACTAGGTGATTTCTTCCAATTTGTCCGAGCTTTGGACAAAGTTATCAGAATCTGTACTGTGAAAATAGTCGAGGTGCACGGAAAATGACCTAGACACCACAGTATCAAGAAAAACAACACTTGCAGATTTCTTTCTCTGGGTAGTGTTTTGACTTTTATATTTAGGAGCCTTTGTGTAAATAAAAAAATTTGAGGTCTTAAATGAGGTCAAACCTTATTAACCACTAATCCAACAATCCATTTTAATTGAAGGACCTGACAAGAGTGTTTGATGCTTTACCTTTTGTTAAGTATCAAAATCTCTGCAGGTTATCATATTCTTCCTTCCTCCTAATTTATATGACGTTCTTTTCATTTCAAGTCATCCCAATTATGCCTTGTTAAATAAGGTTCCAAAATATTCCGCACCATCCTACTAATAATATAATTGTATACAACTTTCAAGACTTCAAAATTACTTTATCAAAAAAGGTAACAAAAAGAAAGTTCAAGGTTTCAAATTCACATGAGTAGACAAATTCGAAACTCATTGCGATGGGCTTTTTCCTGCTAAACTAACTATTAGATATTACTACTTTCTTCATTTGCCATAGATGATATATATATATATATATATATTATAAACAACAAATATATTGAGCCTCATGCCAAATCAAACACTATCACCAAGGGAGAATCAGTCTTATCAAACTCGAAAAACGCAAAAAAATCTCTAAGGTCCACTATGGCTTTAAGCGCGAATAAAGTGTGGACTTTAATGAAGAAACGTGCAAATGAAGAACAAATACAAATATGTGTGGGTAGTCCAAGACAAATAATTATAAGCATGAATAACAAAACAAATATATGGACAAAGAGATTGGAATTTTTTTTTGTGATAAAGTGAAATATCAGTTTTTGACCTCGTTTGGACACTACCTTTGACTAGGGTAGGAGTTGAAAGCCCAAATTCTTGGAGAATAAGCAAAGTCATCAAGAACACCTGGAAAATGATCCCTAGCTGTATTTTTCGGTGTGTTTGGATAGAAAGGAATATAAGATGTTTTGATGGGATTTCAACAGAGTTTTGGTTCAACCACCACCCCGTAATAGATTCACATACTATGAAAACACCAAATAAATGTGACAATACACGTCACAAATAGACTCATAATATGAAAACAATCAATAAACATGACAATACTCGTGACAAATAGACTCATAACATGAAAGCATTAAATAAACGTAACAATTTAATTTTCATTTATCTTTAGATACAATCCAACATTATTACTTGGCAATTGTAGCGGAATAAAACAGAAGACAATTTTTGTTGGGATTCATGGTAATCACATCATAGATTCACATAATATTAGAACACTAAATAAACGTGACAATACACATGGCAAATAGACTCATAATGTGAAAACAACAAATAAACATGACAATATACGTGACAAATAGACTCATAATATGGAAACATAAAAAAACATGACAATACGTGTGACAAATAGACTGATGTAGGCAAATCAAATGTCTGAGAGGCACTCAGATATACTGTTAGTCAAACTTATGTTGGACCAGTTCATGGCAATCAAGTCGTGGTTGGACAACGTTAAAAAGGAAAAAAAGGGTAAATGTATACCTAAACCAGAAGAGGAGGAGAGTTCTTACCAATAATTATCATGGAGGTGGTATTTGGAGTTGTGTTTGGAGGAAACTTACCAGCTATCGAGTCTTTTAATATGGTCAAGTCTTGTATTTGTTAGTAAGTCAATTGTTGTTAGTTTTCAGTGTTTTTGATTAGCTCCCTATGCTTTAAGGTCTGTTGTTGTAAGAGCTAACTATCTTTTGTAACTATACAAAATCTATCTTCATAAAAAAATAAGATAAGGCTCATTGGCAAGGAAAGTTACGTCTTAGAGCCTTGATGACGACATTAAAGTGCACACTAAGCGAGGCGAAACACTCAACATGTTTTGCACCTCGATTTAGGGTTAAGCGCGCCTTTGAAAACACTAGGAGTAACCCACCGACCCCTCCCCTAAAATTGGATAATAAGTCAGAAGGTATAGTTTAGGTCAAGCAACAGTTTCGAGTATTTTCTTCAGATGAATGACTAGAAATAAACTACTTAACATACATTTTTGTCCCTTGATACTTAAACAAAGTCAAGGTGAATTTAATGATGTTCTCTTCACTCTCACTTTAAAATGTATATGTCTAGTTCATACTGTGGTATAAATACCACAAGAACACAATTCTATAAGGAGTTGCTTAGTATTTCCCCACTCTAGCTGAACTTTATGGCACAAATGTGTAGGAGATTCGGTAAAATTCCAAAAGACGTATATCTAATTCAACTAATAGAAATCATTCACATAAATGGCATCGTATGTGACTTCAAGCTCTAATACATTCAAAGAGTTGTAGTCCCAAATAGTTTTTGTCAATTCAGAGAGAACAAATGGGCTCACAGAACTCCTCAACTGAAATGCCTTTGAATCATAACTAGACAAACTAGTATGGGAAAATGCAAGTGAATTAGGAAAAGATTGGGTTCACAATAACTGTATCTTCCGAATGGACCAATTATAAAGTTATCCCCTCTATAAACCTTCAAGTTCACTTTGTGTTTATCAAATCAAGCAATTAATCTTCACTTACTGAAGTTTCATGCCAATGTGACAACGAATGAACATACCTCCAAACAGCTTTAGTAAGAAGGATGCGTTTTGGAGCTTTTTTTTACTTTTGGTAACCGAGAAATCCCCGAGAGCCAATTAGGGTGCGGTTCAAAACTCGGTCATGGATCAGTTTTGGAACTTCTGATGGTAAATTTATAAGTGGTGAGCAAATGAAGCATCGAAAGTACAATAAGTTATGTAGTATACAAAGATATGATAACTTACAAAAGGACTCATTGGTACAAATATCCATGGCAAAAACCATCTTAGACAGAAGTATAAATTTAGTACTTGTTACAATTCATTTCTTTGAATATAATGACATAAGCTAATCATTGGTCCCAATGCCAATTAGACTTGCAAAGACTCGAAAAGAAATTAAAAAATCGGGGATACCAATTATCAAGGAAAATCTCTTAAATCACACTATAGTTTTGCTATCTAACTGATACAATCACTGAAGAACATACAAAACTTATGCCAATATGTAGTGCCAACATTTCTCTGTGCAGAAATAAAGCATTGACATATTATTCACAAGTAACCTACCTCGGAAAAAAAACTAACCTCTTCTGTCCATAGTGCACATATAATCCAAGTAAAATTCAACATCTATGACAAAGCATATTGAGACAGCCTAGAAGCCATATGAGAAACTTGAGCCTGCATCTGAGCAGCCTTAACCTTTGAAGCCGTGGCACGATGAATGAATTGTTCACGCGACAACAACCTTACATTCCTCAAGTACTGATCAAAAGGAATTGCCCCATCCTGTATAGCTTTATCCAACGAATAAATCACATCCTCCATAGCCAAATCTGAGGCTGTACAATCCGACATCTGTTTCGAAAGTCTATCACAAAGCTCAAACGCCTCGTCCACATCCACATTCACTATTTTCTTCACTTTCGTTTCGTTATCTCTAACCCACCCTTCCAACACATCAGTATTCATCAAAACCATCTGTAATTGCTGCTCTAACCCCTCCTTTTCATCCAGCATTTCCTTGACCCCTTTCCTCAACTCCTCCTCTCGACGCCTCAACACTCCTTGTGCATTAAACAACCCTTCCATATCCGCCTCCCTCGCCTTCCCCAACCCTTCAATATCACTATGCAATTTCACCATAAGCTCATCTATTGCATTCTTCTTATCCACCTCCGACTGATCATCCATTTTCCTCCCCATTACCCCACCACTCCCACTCCCATAAGGTGATGGTGGATACACCCGAGGTGGTATCGCGGGTCGAGTCGACCCACTATTCGAAAAACTAGTACCCGGAGGAGGATGCGGATTCGGGTTCGGGTTCGGATTTGGGTTCCGTTTGGTGTACAAAGGGGGATCACGGCTAAAAAAATGACTCAAATTACGAGCTAATTCAACAAGATTCGAACTTGGGTATACCCAATTTGTCAAATAAGGGATTGAAACAATACCAGAAGAGTTCACAAATGGATGTGAGTCTTTGACGACCATATGACGCGTGGGGTTCACGAATACCAACGGTGATTGACGAGGGTAAGATTCCAGTAACCAAATAATGACCGGAATATTGTAGGTTGCATCTAGATAGACCATCGGAACGGTGCCGTTCGCCTGAAGGAGATTCACAGTCCTGCCGTCGTTGTAAGTGAAAGTAGCGGTTCTGGGTTGAAGAGAAGGACACATGTCAATTAACGAAACGAGGTGTTGACGGATTAGCCATTTGACGTCTTCGGAGTAAGGGAGAGAAGAAGGACCTCGTTGGGAGAGAACGTTGCTTAAGAATTGTTGAGTGTATTGGGGAGATGAAGGAGAGTGAATCGCCGCCTCCGGAGGTGGTGGTACCATTATGATCGGAGGAGAAAACGGCGTCGGATTTAGTAAACTCCGGCGATCGGAAAGTAAAAGGAGAACGACGGGGAATTTTTTTTAGCTCAGAGCTGACCTTTTTTGTAAGCTACCTTTGACTTTAAGTTATTGTTAGGTTTTATTTTATGTCTTAACAAAACCCTTGTATGTAATTGAGAGGAATAGTGAATCTCGAACTTGTCCATGCTCATTCAAATTGTCTCAAAAAGTATTCGAAAAACGAAGTCATTCTTTTCCAATCTTTTTTAGACTTACGAGATTAAAGTTGATTTTAGGAATTTAATATTTTAAATAAGGTCTAAAGTTATTTAGTTTAAAAGCTAACTCTATATCGTTATGTCTGAATTATAACAGACAGATTTAACTTCATATTTGAAAGTCTGAAGTAGGAGTAAATATTAAAACTTTGCATTATTAATCGCTTTATATGAACTTTGTACATAAAAGATTTAATAATTTCATATAAAACATTAGTAATAACATGTTTAAAAGTGTTTATAGTAGAGTTTTAATATCAAATTTTCCTATTTACCGTTCACCAAGAAGACATCATCTCAATTCGTTCGAATTGAATTACATCCATCATGTTTTGATAAAGAAGAAGCAGGTGAGGAGGTTTGAAGTTTTCCAACACTCATTAAACTTTAAATTTAGGGGTCCTTTAGTAGTTGTTTTGAAGATTAGTCATGCAGACATTAAATTCCATAGTTCTAAATATATGACTAAGTAATATCATGTTTGATAGTTAGTTATGGAAGTTAGTTTGTCTTGAATTTCGTCTTTTTTTAAAAAAAAAATCCTACATAATTAATATTACATGTATAAGGAAATCTATGTATCATTTATGCACAACTAATTCCTGCCATAAAATAATATATGAATTTCCTTATAGCTAATCCATATATTACTAATACTTGCATAATTCTAATCAACTATCAAACGACTCGTTAGTTTTTTAAACGGATAGCACTTAAATAGAGGTGCCCAAAGTGGCTATCCGGTATAATTCACACCTAGAAAATGCAACTCATATACTTGGGCTGTTAAGTTGAATTGTTAGCCCACGTAAAGCCCAATTATGATGACCCAATCAATCATACATGAGATTCACTTATTTTTGGGCTTTTTTTAACAAAATATTGTAATTAAAGGATGAAGTAGAATTTTGGAAAATGTTTTTCTTAATTTTTTTTATGAAAAGACATTTTATCCTTAAATTTGAGAAAAATAAGCTGATTTTCCAAAACATTTAAATCAATCAAATATGGAAAAATTGGAAAATATTTTCTTTCCTCGTGTTATTAACTTCTTACTTGTGAGTTGTGAAATGAAAGAAATATAAAAGTGAGATTACAAATAATTTATAATGAAAAATATCACATTAACGTCTATACACCTGCTTGATTTAACTTTAGAATTGAAAAAGAAAATATGACTCATGAGTAACTAATTAGCTTTTCCCCTTAATTTCAAACACAAGTTTGCCAATTACTTGCTAACTCCTTTTCTTTAACGTATTAATTTGAACTCAAAAGTAACAAGAAAAAATAAAAAAAAATATTTTTGGAACAGTGCTAAGTAAAAAAATATATTTTTAAAAAGAAGTATTATTGGCAATATTTTTAATTATGGAAATCCCAATTATATTTACTAAAGGAAAACAAATTTCCTTTTCCTGATAGTATTTGGACTCATTAGTCATTATTTAAAGTTGATTCTTTTAACCACACACCACACGTCATCAAAAGCTGCAAAACCAAACAGACCTTTTTTTGCCTTTTTTATCTCTGCAGATTCTGGTTTTTCAGCCGAAAGATGGAGTTGGAAGAAAACAAGAAGGAAAAGTATGGTCAACCTCCTTATTCTGCCCAACACCCTTGGCTTCTTATTTGTCATGGTGATGTTATGCACAAGCAAACTTTTTTCAGTGTATCAGAGAATCGATATTATATCAAAAGTATACCTGAACTTAAAGAAAAAACATTATCTGCTTATGCGGATGAGTGGCTTGTGTTACAAAGCATTAATTCTAATGATTGTTACCTTTGGAATCTTATTTCAAACGAAAAAATTCAGCTTCCGCCACTTCCTGCTAAGTGCGACATATTGAGCTGCCTCTTGTCTGCACCACCTCATGATTCCGAATGTCAAGTTATCTTCCAAATTAAAGAGACTGAGACTACTCTGGATGATGATGACACTAATGAGGATGAGCATGAGCATGAGAACTCTGATGAGCATGAGAATGACAACTCTGATGAGGATGGGGATGAGAACTCTGATGAGGATGGGGATGCAGACTCTATTAATGAGGATGAAAACGATGAGGATGAGGATGAGAATTTGCTTACTTTTTACTTCTGCAAACCAGGTTATAATGAAGAATTTCATAAACAAGATGTCCAATCAATTATCGGAGATTCACGTCTTGGGGTCTGGACAGTTCTCAAGAAAAAAATTTATATATTAATCGGGATGCAAGATATTCTAATTTGTTTGGATCTAGATAATGATTCAGGAAGAATAACAGCTACACCAATGGCTGACGGATCTCCAGATCTGTCGAAATCATATCATGCTTTTTATAAGGATTACCTCATTCAATCCTCTTTATCATGCTTTTTATAAGGATTACCTCATTCAGTCCTCTTCTAACAATATGTTGTTATATGTTCACTTGATTGGTAACGGAAGAGAGTTTGAAATGCCATACCATTTTCAAGTATTTCAATTTGATTTTATAAGAGGAAGATGGATAAAAGCGGAAAGCATTGGAGAAATAGCAATTTTTATAAGTTTCCCTCTGAAGACGGGCACAACTTGTTCGACAAAAGACACAAATCTTAACAAAGAGTGCATCTACTTCACCTACGGTCGTCATCTCTACATCTACAACTGGATAACACATAGCATATCATTATCCCTCCCTTGCCCACATGTTAGCAAGACAAAGGATCACCACATGCACTGGTTAACATTAAATTAGTAAATGTTTAATTAGCCTTTTGTTTGTATACAATAAATGTTTAGTGCTATTTGATATGGTTTTCGTTGATTTGCATCAGGTTAACTTTCTATGATTATTTTCTCTCTTCTTATTCATTATTTCTCGTTTTTGCCTTTGTAAATTATTTCTTAATTATTGAAAAATATGTCATTATTTCTTTCACAAACTAACTAATTAAACAACTTTTAACTTCATGATTAATTTGTATTCTGAAACCCTCTTTTAAACATACAATATATAAGAAAGTTAACACGTAACCTAACTCACTAAATTGTTATTTTCCTGTTTTAGGTTTGCATTCTTTCTTTTATTTTAGTGTTTTATTTTCATTGTACCAACATCTTGAGAAAATATTGGAAAACTTTCTTAAATGCATAGCAAACATAGCCTCATATGAAAAAAAGTTAACTTTTAACCTAACTCAATTTCAAAAGATAGCTCACGTGTAGTTTTTGAAGCTCACGATATGGGCAATCACGTGTAGTTTTTGAAGCTCATAAGTGGGTAGCGCTAGCTTTTACAAATGACAAGGAAAATAAAGTATTCAACAGTAATAAGACATTATGAATGATTAAGACATAATGTTCGTGAGTAATAACTAATTCCAATACTAACTAGTGAAGGGTAAAATTAGAAGAACATCCTAAGAGTAGTCTTGAAGATTGAACAATTAAGTTAATTTGAAAAATAAAAAATGTCTCAAACAATTTAATTAATTTGAAATGAAGAGAGTACTGGGTTCAGACCTCTATATTTAAATATTTTTTTTAAAAAAATATAACACTACTATATATAATCTAAAGAGGGGAGCATGTGTTCACGTGAACCTAAGCCAACTAGCCTCACCATCATGGTGGACCTTTTGATTTATATAAATATAAAAAAGAAATGGTATATTATTTGACAGAGAAGTATTTCTTTTTTATATTTATACAGTGGATATAATGAAAATTGCCGCAGCAATTCGAAATTATATAAGTATTAAGTACTAACGTACAAGTAGTTTATGTTAGTTTTAATTGTATCAATTTATCAAACTAGAAATTAATTTTATTGTAACAGTGTATAGTGACAAATTAAAATATTATCTGGATCCAAACACATTAGAATACATATATGCATGTTTACCTTGTTAATACATAAAATTTTCTCTTCAAAACACATCCTCATCGTTTGTTTCATCATCAGGAATAATCTTAGTCTCTTTAATTAGAAAGAATGTGACACGTGCAATTGTTAACTTAAGGTAACAATAACACGTATTATTTTATTTTTAAGTTTAGATATATATCTCATATAATATTAATTATAAGGATGGTGTTATGCAGAAAAAGAATGTCAGGGAATTTTTGCTTTTTCGATAATGAAAACTATAATGTAACGTGGGGTTAAATTAAAAGAATCAAACTTTAAATTAAATATTATTATAATAATATGATTAAATGAGTTCAAATACTACAAGGAAAAGGGGTTAGAATAGGTGTAGGACAAGAAAATTGTTTCCTTACTTCCTAGAAAATATAATTAGGATTTCCATAACCAAAAATATTGTCAATTATAGTTGTATTTAATTTACTCTTTCCGTTGACTTTTCCAAAAGTAAATTCACTTCTGAGATATAAAAAAAGAATAATAATTAGTTCAAATACGTTAAGGAAAAGTAGTTGGCAAGTCTTATTCTAGTTTATAAATAGGGTAGATCTCATAACACGTAGTGTTCATAATTTTTCTAAACGACAATTTTTTATAATGGAGGATGCATTGTGGTCGGATTGTATACCTTCAGACATACTCGGATTAATATCATCACGTCTTGTTGCCGCAGAATATTTTGTTTTCCGTGCCGTTTGTAAAAAATGGCGTTACACACCTGTGATCCCTCCACATTGTCCTGCTCAACCAGAAAAATCGCCTTGTTTGATCACATTGCGTGGAGATACTGGAATTCTTGATTTCTTTCATCCCGTGTACAATGTTATGACGACTACGTCTATCCCAATTCCAAAATTAATGGATTCCCGAATTCGAAGTTCAAAAGCTAATTGGTTACTCGTAAGTCATGGCAACCGCAACATGTTTTTTTTCAATCCTATTAGCAATGACATAATTGAACTTCCTGATCTACAAGAGGAGTATGAAAATA